ACAAAATAGTTTCTTATATTTGTAATAAAAAATAAGATTAATCTTTTAATTTTTCAAAAGAAAATATTAATGTTAATCTAGAGGCACAAGAATTACAAGAACCACTTCAAAATAATAGTGTCAAATCTTCAATATCTGCAACTAGTATCGAATCTTCAACATTAACAAATGCCACTAGATATCAATATAAAGTGCCATTACAAAATAACTTACCTTTATCTCATCGACAATGCTCACGCTCACCTTCATTTCATCAGCAACATTCACCCTCACCTTCATCTCATTGACAACGTCTACCTTCAATCCATCGACAACACTCATGCTTACCTTCATCTCATCGACAATGCTCATGCTCACTTTCATTTCATCAACAATGCTCATGCTTACCTTCATCTCATTGACAACACTCACACTCACCTTCATCTCATTGACAACACTCACACTCACCTTCATCTCATCGACAACACCAACATTCAATCCATCAACAACAATGCTCATCTTCTATTCATTGACAACACTTACCTTCAATTAAATCAATTGAATCTAATGACTATATTGAGCAATATCAATGAATTAATATTGAAAAACAGGCTCCAAAAGATCTTTTTTTTAAACAATCTAATAAACACTCGTATTTTCCATCTGCTAATAATAAAGATAAATCTTCAGAAGATGAATATCTTAATCCTGTGATTTCTAAAGAACCATCATATTCTCTTTTAAATGTGCCAAATACAAATTATATTAATTCTCATTTGTCTAGTAAATCAAAAAATGGTATCTTTTTTCAAGACGAAACACAACTCCTTCAATGGTTAGAAACACGTAAGGATTTAGCATTACAGGCATTAAATTTAAATAATAATAATAATATATTATCCAACAAGGTTAGTTATAATTATTTACTTTATTACTTTATATAATATAAAATTATAAAATTTATAATTATAATTTTTATATCAATATATAATAGAATTCTTTAAGTGATACTGATACACCTAATTTGGCAAAGCTTCTTGCTGAACAATCTCGCATTTTATTTTTGTGAACTAGAGTACCAACTAAAAGAACTCATACTACATTAATAAAAACTGTTATTCCTAATATGGTTAATATACATCCAAAGTGAAATGAAGTTTCAGCTAAATTATGACAATCATTTGAAAATTTTCGTAGTACTTACAATGATGAAATTGCTAAATTAGCAAGTCAATTAATTCGAAAAAAAGGTAATGATTATTTCTTTTTATTTTATTTATTATATATTAAAAAAACTACAAAATCTAATATTTAAAACTAATTAATTACAGAAATCCAAGTTTTAATAATATCAAACTTTTCATTTCTGAATCAGTATGGGAAAAACCTCTTAAACGATATATTGATATACTTGACTACAATAGTTTTCAAGACAATCAGATGAAGTTAATGTGTTAAAGATTTTCATAGCCAAAAGTCTTCAAATACATGTTAAATATTTGATAGCTGAATCTAATAGAGAAAGACCTAATTATACTTCAATGGTTTTAAATCGTATTAAAGAATTAGATAATATTACAATTAATTTTACATTTCCTGCTGCAAGTTATTATCAATATGTGAATCAGCTAGAACTTAAAGAAGAAAAAGAAAATTTAAATTAATATAATGATTATATAGTTCTTTATATTAATTAATATAAATATTCATATATATGTTTTTATAAATTGAATATTTATTATATTATGCTAATAAATACATTATATTATGCTAAAAAAATACATCATATTATATTTATAAATTGATTTTTATTACATAATTTATTGAATTTAAAAAACAAAATTTTTGGTAATTAATAGGTAACATATTACTAATATTTTGATAATTTTGTATATAATAGATATATAATTATTAAGTAATATCTAATATTGCAAATAAATAATTATATTAGTCATAAATAATGCAATAATATCACATTTTTAATATCTAATTTATTGGTTTTTAAAATACTAATTTTTTGCTATTTATAATGTCTAAAATATTATTAATATTTTACTAATTTAGAATTAAATTCCTAATTTATTACTTTAAAAGCTTATAAAGTATTTTATAATGATTATTATTGGCAAATAATTACATATCTCAAAATTTAAAATTTTTGTAAAGTAATTAAAAGATATAAAGAGATGGAAAGTGATTTTTAGTTACAGAATATAGAAGAATAGTTAGAAGACAGAAATGTTGATATAGAAAAAAAGAAAGCAATCACAAAGAAAAAAAGACTAAGATAAATATATTAAATTAAAAAAAAAACATTATCTGTAGAAGACATTTTGTGCCAAATATTAGAAAGACTAAACATAATAGAAGAAATGCAACTAGATGCAAGAGGAGACTTAGCTAACTGCTTTTAAGAAGCATCTTAGTTAAGTTTAGGAATACAGATAAGAAATTTAGAACTTTTCTGCAAAATAAAAGAAAAACTTTTAAAAAAAGAGAAAAAAAACATCTTCTAGTCTAAGGAAAAAAAATAACAAAAAAGAGAATAAAAATGCTAAAAACATGAAAACAAAACAAAAACAATTAAAAGAAAAATAGAAAAAAGAAAAAAAAAAAAATTAAAATAGCATATCACAATATTAATAGGTTAAAAACCAAAGGCTAAAAACTCAAAAATCTGCTAGACTAGGCAGAAAAAGAAGAAATTGCAATATTGGAAATTATAGAAACAAATATTACTAAAAGGAAAAAAAGATTTTTAATGCATATAACAAACAATAAATATGTAAGATACTGAGCAAATGCAGCTAAAAATAAGAAAAAAGAATCCAATATAGGAATTTTAATAAAAGAACAATAGAAAAAACATATAGATGCAGTTAAAAAAATAAGTGAATATATAATAAAGATTATACTATACTTTAAGCAACTGGAGTTAATAGTAATAAAAGTTATAAACTACCAAATAACAAGACTATAAAGAAAAATATTCAACAAAAGATTGTAGAAATAGTTACAAACAGAAAAGACAAACATAAGTTGTAATTATAAGAGACATTAATTATACAGTAAACAATATATTAGATAGACAACAACTACAATTAGCAAATTTTAAAAAACTACAAATCTTTAATTAGATAAAAAAACAAGATTTCATAGACATATATAGAAACATATATTCAACAAGCCAAAACTACACATAATCAAATAAAAAAGCTGCAAGAATTGACTACATCTGGGTGTCAAAAGAACTGGCTCTGGGTTTGCAAAGGTCAAACATTGAGAAAACAGAAGAAATTACAGAAAGTGATCATAAAATAGTAATTGCATAAATATAAATTAAACACATAATAGAAAAAAACAAAAAAGCAGTAATTAAAAGAAAAGAGCAATCAAGAACATTAAATTTATATGATTAGACAAAATTAAAAGATTGGGAAAATTATGCACAAGAGTTGCAAAAGCAGTTAGAAGTAAAAAAAAATCTAAAAAACATTCGAACAAAGTGCAAAATAAAAAAAAATATATAAACAAAATAAATAGTATATAGGATACAATAGAAAAAGCAATTTTTATAGTAACAAATAAGCATATATTTTAAAAAAAAAAAATACAATACAACAGTAAATAGAAAAACTAGTCAGAAAGAACAACAACAAGAAAAAAAATATTATAAAGCTCTAAAGACTAATTAAATATGCAAAGACAAGAAAAAACCAAGAAGTAACTAAAGAAAAAAGAAGTAAAACAAATAAACAATTAAAAGCATTAGGCAATAAAATAGGTGCTAAACTGCTAAAATTACAAAAATATTGGTTACATGTCTAGAAAGAAGACATGAAAGAATGATAAAAACTATTACAAAAAAGAAAAAAAAAAAACTAAAAACAAGCACAAAGAAGGCAAATAAAAGAAAATATAAATAAGAGATACAAAATAATTAAAACAGACTAAGAAAAAATGCTAGCTAGCCTTTTAAATAAACTGTATAAAAAGATAATACTAAATAGACTTATCAAGCAAGTAGAAAAGAAAACATATCTATAATAAAGCCAAAAGAGGTTAAGATAAATGTAGCAGAACATTATAAGATGCAAATTAGAAATAATAACGGAAAAATAAAAGGAGATGTACAGACTAAATGAAAGCATTAAAGAGAACTAATATGCAAAAGTTAAAGAAAAAATTAAAAAGAAAGAATGAAAAGAGATACTAAGAAAGTTAAAGACAAAAGCAGAAGACCAATTACCTAACTCTTCCTGTAGATTACTAAAACCAATTTTTCTCAAACAAACAATTTAACTTTTCTCAATATTTTACTAAACTAACAATTCTTAAACTTTTAATTAAACTTCTTTCTCACAACTTTCTAACCTAAAAATAATATAAATTTATTTATATCTATTCTTCTGATATAAAAAACTCTTACATTTAAACAAAATTATCTTTATTTATACAATTTTTAACTTTCTTCAATTTATACTTAATATTATTTCTTTACTTTTGTTTAAACT